GAAAACAGATATCGGAAAACATCTAAATGGTAAGAAAACAAATTAAACAACACAAACAAATTATGATCCTTTAAATATGAATAAACATACTTTGAAACCCCATCATTTCTAACCATTCAAAAAAGTGAAACAAAATGAAACAGAGATCCCAACAACCTCACATTAGAAAACTATTCCAGATCAGGCCTTGCTATACTGTCATCTGACTGAGCTATTCATTGATCCTGTAAAATGAGCCAGAGTTACAGCACAGCATCACTTTGGCCCTTCTCGTTTGTTGGCACAGCATGACTGACAGTCTGTGAGATATGCAATGCAGAAACACTGAGAGGTCAACTGAGTTCTTGAAGCTCTACATCATCTTAAAGGTGACATATCATGAAAATCTGACTTTTCCAGGTTTTAAAGGGGTCCTATTATGCTCTTTTACAATGTCTTGAATTTGTTTTGGTGGTGTACTAGAACATGCTCTCATGCTTGTTGGTTCGAAAAACGCATAATTTTTTGCATCATTTACATTATTACAATACCTTTCTCCCCATCCTGGCACAAACAGCTCGATTAGTTCCGGGTTTGATGAAGGCCCGCCTTCCGAACAGAATTGTGATGTGATTGGTTAGCTGTCCCAGTGCGTTGTGATTGGCGAACAGCTTAGACGGTGTTTCAGTACTGCCCCGCCCCTTGCCAAAGCAGAAAGTTACGTCCGTAAATTTTTTTGGTTAAAAATGATCCGAAATCAATATTTGAGCAAGTACATAACCAGCCAGTGTTCGAAACAATCGCCTTACTTTAGCCCGATTCACAACGGTTAGCTTATATTAATGTTTTCAAATTTGAGTGGTACGGGTAGGTTTTCGCAGGAAGTTCGAGCATGGCACTGCGTCATTACGTCACTTCTGTAAACATAAAGAAGTTGTCCCGGCTACTAGGCTATCGCATGTGAGTTTGATGTGATATGAGCGAACCGATCTTTAGATTTAATCACCATTGGTAGAAATTTATGGTAATGCTTTTTTCCTCAGTTGGTCAGAACAAACGTGGCAGACTTGTTACTTACTTGTTCAGATGACAACTCTTCAGAACATTAGATTCATCCACGCTGGAGCCGCGCTCACTCACAACCCACACAAACTAGATAATTCCGCAGACAGCTGCAATTCCAGGTTTTCAAACAGAGATGGCGACAAAGAAGTGCATATGTATTATTTATATTGTTATTTAATTCTAACATTATAACATGAATTGCAGTGATTTATTTATACCATAGTCCAGTGTTTCCCCGGCGGCAAATATATGCAAACTCATTCTCTGCCAGCAGGAGGCGCTGTTGGAGTGGTAGAGATCAAGGTTTCCCCGGTAATGGCTGAAAATGACATCCAATTTTCTGAAGACAGTCCATTTCCTTCAGAAATACAGTGAAACAAAAACACCCGCACTCAAGTATGGGAAACACTGTAGTCTCATAATTGAAGTGTAAATTCTGCAGATTACATCATTGTTCAGTATTGTACTGTCAGCAATTTATTATAAAAACGTTTTCATAATTGTAACATACATATTTACATACATAATTATTCAGGTGCATGTGTAATAATGGCCCTATTCCCACCCCCCAACCATTCGAATTTCCGTAGGTGGGAATTATTTTAATGATATTCTAATGGGCCGCTTTGTGATATCACAAAACCCAGAAAACAAACACTGTAGTCCAAATGAGCCGTTCGTTGTAGTTCTTGAAAGGGGATTTTTTAAAAACTAAATATCTCCCTTTGGAGTGAACTTTGAGATTTGTAACTTTCTAGATCTTTTTAATGCCCAAACATACACACTACACACTGACTAAAATTAAAAAAGTGAAAACGCATCGCTGAAAAATCGAGCGCGTCTGATTTCGCTCCCCTAGTGACATTGCAAAGGGATCTCATTATAATATTACCCCCCCTTAATCTGTAAGTTTCCACCCACGGCGCTGTCATTATGATTTTGCAAGCGACAACGGTGTATTAGTTCTAATGCCATTGTGAAAGTTTGAGCAAAACATACTAACTGTCCTGTCTTTGGCTGCACAGACGAGCACAGAACACTATTTAGAGAGACAACAATACTACAGCGAGAATAAAAGTTACGCCTTCTTTCTTTGCGTGAACATTTGGGCGGCTTTATGCAAATCTCCCCACATCGTGACGTAGACATGTGGGGGCGTGTTAGGTAGTACTCACGTGCTGTGACAGCCGCTTTCTGTCCGTGTGCTTCAGATATGTGCTCTCAGAAAACCGTATGTCAGAAGTTAAAACTAATATAGTTTAAAACGCATGATTTAGGGCGATAAACATGTTAATCAGAACCAAAACAGATGTTTTATTAGCAGTCCGAGCTGTAATGGCGCAGCTCTATTCTGGAAAGGGGGCGGGGAGCAGAAGCTCATTTGCATTTAAAGAGACAGGCACAAAAAAAACAGCGTGTTTCTGCTTCCACTCAAAATAGGCATTTTCAAAATGATATTTTGAGCTGAAACTTCAGACACATTATGGGGACACCAGAGACTTATATTACATATTGTAAAAAGGGGCATAATATGTCTCCTTTAAACTATAGTATGGTATGGAATTAGAGCTGCTTTTGCTCATCCACTAAAAGCCTATTAGTTAAATACAATACAAGAACACAGAATAAGAAGAAGTCTAGAACATCTATAACACTTTAAACACTTCTATATTAATGATTACAATAAATAAGAATATGTATTATAGCAAATACAATGAAATAGTCATATTTCATTTATTTTCATCAAATATTCTACTACTAGTAGTACTAACAATATTGCTCCTGTTGCATTTATTTTCATGCACGGCAATACTTGCATGATATTCCATGGTACATGTCCAAAAACATACTATTAACATGGCCATGGGGCTCATTTTTTAGTATGCATTTTGAAAATAAGGAGGTTTAAAGCCAAACCTTTCAAACACTTATAAACACAAATAAACACAAGCGCATGCAATAAACTCAAGTTCTAATATGCATAAGTGCCCACTTGAAATAAAGCAATTTAATTTTATTTCAGTTCGCATGTTTTCATTTCATTCTTCATGCTGTTACAAAAAAAAATGAACCTGCAATTTGACAGCTTATGGAAAACACATACTGTAACAGCTGTTATATTAAAATTCAGTTGCTCTAATTAAACATCCGTGATGTGAGATCCGTAATGTTGTTCTCAAACATTAAAACAGTGTTTTGAATTGCTGAACACACGTCCCTCTATTTTTTATCCGCATGTTATTTATTCCTAACAGACTGGAGACGGACAGGTGCATCTTACCGCACGCGACACTGCAGGCGTCCCGGATCGCTTTATGTTTACTGCCCGATGCCTCCTTCTGAAGCTTTCGCAGAATCTCCTCCATTGCGCTGAAGATGACTGATAGATGTTATGTTGGTATGTGGGATAGAAATGATGGTTTCAGGCCTCCTGCCTTAGGCTCAGCATCCCTACAGTAAAGATGATTCACTTTAACAACAGTGAGACGTCACACTGTGCGTCAATTATTATTATTATTGTTATTATTATTATTATTATTATTATTATTATAAGCGGGGAAGCAGCTGGTATTTAGTAACACTGCAGATGATATAAAGGAAATATAAAGGTTTCGACAAAATGAAAGTGGACATCTAGGGCTTTAACTGCTTTGTAAGGTGGGTGTGTCCAGGGACTTCTCGTCCGCGAATTAAGTTACGAAAGCTACTATGGTGAAGGAGTAGTACTTAATATTCATAAGCCACGCCTTCGTTCATGGAGGGAAAAACACCGTCTAATTAATATGCAATGACTTTCACGTTTGCCATTGAAAGAATACCAAACAAATTTAACAACATCTCATTCATATTCATAAGGTAATCTTTCGCCATAGTACACGTTTATAGTACTTCGAGTTTTCCGCTGGATTTATTAAATGGAGCTGAGGTTCGACTCGTAATGATTTCTACACCGTTGTCACTTCCGGAACCTTAATTTCCCTTTTTATTTTACTTTATCTACGCTTTTATAGGAAAGCGCATGTAAATTTGACAGGGAAACAAAAAGTATGACTTTTAGTGTTTTTGTCTTTTTCTGCTCACATTAAAATAATTTGATACTAGTAAAATAAGGAAAATATGATTTCACTTTGACAAAAACAAAGAAAATACAAAGTGACGGGATCACTAGTCTTTTACAACACCACACATTCTGTGGTGAGGCCACTGATCTATAATAGAGAACAATATATAGATAATATATAATTATTTCTATTATATTATATTATATTATATTATATTATATTATATTATATTATATTATATTATATTATATTATATTATATTATATTATATTATATTATATTATATTATATTATATTATATTATATTATATTATATTATATTATATTATATTATATTATATTATATTATATTATATTATATTATATTATATTATATTATATTATATTATATTATATTATATTATATTATATTATAGAGAGTCGTTATATAGATCAGTGGGTGAGGCTTAGCGAACAGACAGACAGACGGGCAGACTTTTATTTTTAAACCACATACCGGATGTTGTTTGTCGCATCAGCAAAGCCACTGGAAGGCAAGCCTGCGACCTTTAGCCAAAAAAGCGTACCGGCTAATGCTAACGCTTCCGCTTTGGCCGTACGCAGGGAAGGAGACCAGAGTCCGTTTTGTTTCAATGGATGTTAATGGAGGAGAGGCTTCACTACGCTGAATAAACAGCTTTTTAGAGGAAACAACTTATCATTTAATGAATCGACAGCCTGTCGGCTAATCTTCAACATGTTTTACACTAAACAATACTTTTGGATTTAACTATTTTTAGAGTTTACACCGAAAAAAATGCCGTTTTATAAGAGAAGTCACTGACTTTTTGCGACAGGTGGGATTCAGATTACGGCACTTCTCATTCATTCCTACGGCATCCGTAAACTGCGATGAGTGTCGCACAACTCAAGTCAAGCTGAAGTGCCTCAGCGAGCGCTCCTGTCACATGCTCGTCGTGATGGCTGCCGTGTGGCGAGCTCGTAAATTTGACCGCGGTGTCGTCCGCTTCTCTGATCGTGATCTGTAAAACATTCGCTGAAAGCACGTCTTTAAACGCTACATTAAAAGAGCTCGCAAAATAAGCGGTTATGGTCAGTAAAAGCTGTGTTTCTAAGATTAGCGAGGCTGCTAATCAGGTGCTGCTAACATTAGCACGTTAGCAGTCATGACGTGTACTAGTCTTGTCACACATCTGAGTGTTGTTGTTTTTTTGTACGCTGAATAGCAGTCCTAACTAATTCTTTAAACGTTCAGCATGTAATAACAATGATGCATAATGTCCATATGTCGAAAACAAGCTATGTTGTGTATGCGTGTTTACAAAGTTTGCAGTTCTGCAAATCACGACTGGATTTGTATTCAGATGCACTGAATAAGAATTTAACTTGATAGCCGATCATCTGTGTTTTATACGTTTAGTGCAGTGATTTTCTGCTGCTTCGGGTGCTGGTGATTAATGTCACTTATTTTCCACCAAACATGGACGTGGTTATAGTTTTTAATCAGGGCTTTGTGCGTCACTTCTTTTTAAACTCTCTGTATGTATTTTCACCTACTTAATATGAAAATATAGAATTTGAAATGACTGAATATGTGCTATTTCTAGGCTGAAAGCGACCAAAACACTGATGGCACTGTTGAAGAAGGGGAGGATGAAAATACAGAGGATTCTAATCTGCAAGTTAGTGGGCTTGGCCTCCTCTTATTATTATTTTAAGAAGACACCAAAGAAAAAAGTAATTGTAATCTTTAATGAAATACGGTAGTTTTGTAATCTACTACTCCATTTCTGAAATGACTTCCCTTTTTAGATGACATAACGAATCTCTCTTACTTTTTCGTTTACTATTTTCTTGTTGTACTTTCTATTCCGCTATGGAACGAATCATTGGCTAAAATCAAGTCCCACCCTACTTTTTTCTTGTTGCAAATCTCAAGACATTTTCTTAGTATAATAATTTAAACCAGTCAGTTCCAAGGATTAATACCTGAAATAACAATAAAAATCTGCACCACTGTCTACAAAATTATTATTTTGAGCATGAAATAAATTTTTTCCCCCTGATTATTTTCTTATAGTACCTTCCTGGTGTTGTTGTGTATAATTAATTGTTGTACATTGTTTCATCGAACGGCATTTTATAATCTTTCATCAAAATTTATTTTGCTCTGCCAATGAAAAGACTTTGACTTTATGGCAAATGTCACCTTTATTAATATAGCGCTTTACACAATACAGATTGTGACAACGAGCTTCACGGTGTTAAGTAGGAAAATAATGTCACCGTGTCCTCTTACTATTGAACCCCTCTCACCAAGTGGCTCCATTCTATTATGTGATGAACTCTACTCTTTAACTGATGATGGATAAAATCAAGTCTCAGCCCAGTTTTTCAGAAGTCTGTAGCTGTTTTTTTTATGTTTCAGATGGAGCTCAGTGCCTTTCGGGCAAAGTGGATGTCTGAGCTTCAGCCCAGCTCAGGTGGAAAGAAAAGTGTCCCCAAAACTGCTGACCTTAAGAGGAAACAGGAAATCGCTAAAGAGGGGAAGGTGCGAGCTCATGAATATTCATTGGATGTACTATGAGAAAAGATCATTACATGACCAAAATAACTCTGTGCTGTCACAGTGTTGATGTGTAATGTTATATCCTTCACTTGACCTTGTCTTATGGCTGATTGTGAATGTGTGCTCATAGGCCCGAGAGCTGTTCCTGAAGGCTGTCGAGGAAGAACAGAACGGAGCAGTTTATGAAGGTTTTTCTTTTTGTTTAGCCATTCAGACTAATAAAATGGATTACGTGAAGCCTGCAGGTTTAAATGTCCCCATTTTGATTTTGCAGCCATCAAGTACTATAAGAGTGCAATGCAGCTGGTACCAGACATTGAGTTTCGGATCACCTACAGCAGAACTCCTGATCCGGACCGCGGTGGCAGCTAGTAAGCGCTCGGCTGCAGAATGAACTGTCATGGGAAACTTGGATGTGTATTAGAACATTTTAAAATGTGTTTTCTAGCCTTCTAAAATGCATAAACATTAAAAAAAATAATAATAACAATAGATGTTTCATGGAATAATAGAAGGTAAATATTTAATAATAGTTACTTTTTTTGTAGCTAAAATATTTATTGTTAGATATTGTTTTTGTATAGACCCTTTATATAGTAACGCTTGCTTTCAGTAGACAGTAACATTAAAAACATTTAAACATTAAAATTACGAATGTGTGTGTATATATATATATATATATTTATAATTTGCTTAAAGAAAATAAAGCTTTAGTGATTTTTTTTCATGACCGTTTTCAAGCACATTTTGTCATTACTGTAATGTATTCGGATGATGCGCTTTTTTAGTTGTTTTGAACAATTCTGATAGTTTTCGGAGATTCTCTTACATTATTATTACATTAGTATTGCATTAAAAAGTTCTTTACAATTAAAATTTTTTTATTTTTTTTGCTTTACAATAATGAGAATTAGATTTTTTCCTTACAGTAATTTGATTGATAGAAATGTGTGCAACTGCAATAAATAAAGTCACAATGCAAATTGTAATGAGCTTTATTTTCTACATGCAAAATACTTTTCAAGTTCCTATTTCTCTGTTTTGTTTTGCCATTTGAAGGTTGATTGCACGATAATGTGAATGTTTGATTGTCCCACTCGTTAGCTTGGAGGACAATGAGAACGATCGGGAGATAGACGATCTACTGACGTACTTCCAGCAGCAGCTGACGCTGTGCGACGGCACCATGAAGCTGTGTGAGCCTGAGACAGACTCGACTCTGGTGCACATCTCGGGTAATCCTCACTCTGGAGCTAGTCTGTGTGGATTTCTAGAGTTTACCTGTTGCCCTGAAAGCCCCTTCTTTCACGTCCACAGCTTTGCCCTTCGAGGTGCTCATGTATATCTTCCGTTGGGTGGTGTCATGTGACCTGGACCTTCGAGCCCTAGAGCAGCTTTCCCTGGTTTGCAAGGGTTTCTATATCTGTGCCAGGTGGGCTCACACACTCAGCAGACATCAGCGTAAACCAGCTTCCCCACTAGCATTATAGCGGCTTGTGCTCAAGAACAGCACTCAGATTTTAAGCATTAAAAATTAAGTTTGCCATGTTTTTGTGGGTGTCTTGTTTCAGGGACCCTGAGATTTGGCGGTCTGCCTGTTTGAGGGTGTGGGGGCGGAGCTGCACCAAAATGCTGCCATTTTCATCCTGGAGAGAGATGTTTTTGGAAAGGCCACGTGTACGCTTTGATGGTAAATGCGTGCGCTTCTCTATGTCTTCTTGAATATGTGCTGCTTGTACAGTGTTTAATAAATGTCCATGGTTTGTGCAGGTGTTTACATCAGTAAAACCTCATACATCCGTCAGGGGGAAGAGTCTCTCGATGGCTTCTACAGGGCTTGGCACCAGGTGGAGTACTACAGGTGAGCTTGGGGCTTTAAAGGGGTACTCCACTCAAAAATCTAAATTCTGTCAGCATTTACTCAACACCATGTGGTTCCAAACCTGTATGCATTCCCAGTGTTTCCCACAGGGCTTTGTTAGACTATGGACCTTTGTCCCTCTGGGGTTATCTGGGGTCATGCACCCCTGGATGAAAATATTGACATTCTAAAGTTAAATGCATGAATCTGTTGCACATTGAAAGCAAAATTAAGAGCTCCAACACATTTTCAGTGACCAAATTGAATAGAGTAAAAAAAAGTGGTTGCATTGGCTTGGACTTTAAAGTGGACTCAAACCGCTTTTAGTTGCGAAAGTGTCTGTTCACATTGCATTCACACTGATGTTTTTAGAAGTCAAACAAATATTATAATAATACCTTTAATAATAAAGACAGTAATATTATTATTGTAATACAACTGCACTGTAAAATAAACATAAAATAAATACTTCATAAATCATAGTAAGTATATTAAATTTGTTTTATAGAAAAATTACAATATTTGTATTAATTTCTTCACTTGTAGTTTAACCGTCCGGCTTTTATTTTGACACAAAAATGCAGTTTCTGTGAAAACAGCTGGAAGGAGTACACGTTTTTCTTTCAAACTCGCAGCATGAAAGACTACATAATTAAATCATTAGTTTAATAAGCACATTAAGCTATATTGATTCTGATTTTAGTTTAATTAACAGATGTTTCACCAAAGTAGTGGTGAAAAACAATGTTAGAGACCTTTTATATTATTAAATTAATATTTATAAAATATTTTCAGTTCATTATGAAACTGTGGCGGGACAGAGGTGATTCATGGGAAACAGTGCATTTGTTCTGCAGACACACAAAAGAAGATATTTTGCGGAAAGTTGGGAACCCATTAACAATGGATCCCATTCATTTCTGTTTTATGGAGAAAAATTAAATATTTTACTTCCCACAGAAGAAAGTCAAGTTTGGAACAACATAAGGAGTAAACGTGGACAGAATTTTCCTTTTTGGGTGGAGTATCCCTATAATGGCCCTGAACAAAATCTGTTTTGTTCAGTGTTACCAGGCTTTGACGAGACCTGATCTTTTAGGTACCTGCGCTTCTTCCCTGATGGTCAGGTGATGATGTTGACCACACCTGAGGACCCTTTGGTCACTGTCCCAAGGCTGCGCAGCAAGAACTCCAGGTACGTGTCATGGGCCTAAATAACAGACCTCTGCTCTGAATTTAACTTGGCTGACAGAACATTTCTAGGCCATGTGCCATCTTTAAATCATTAAAGGGCACATCGGATGCCCATTTTCCACAAGTTGGTATGATTCTAGGGTTTTCATGAAATGTCTGCAACATACTTTGGTTAAAGTTCCTCAATGGTCGAGTAAAACGACACCCTTTTTACCTTGTCAAAAACAGCTCTGTTCACAGCGAGCCGTTTCGGTGCATGTCTCTTTAAATGATAATGAGCTACTGCTCACCCCGCCCCTCTCTTCCGTTTTTTCTGTATTCGGTGGCGTGTTAACATCAATAATAAAAGGAATCCTCTGCTTCCTCAGTGGCTCTGATGTCGGGAGAAAATGAAGACTCTTATGTTCACTTTTACATCCAACTACAAAACACCTGCATTGCTTTTGAGTCATTGTTGTCGCTACAGCTGTTCGAGTGTGGATAAAATGGCAGACAGCGTACAACTGGCCAAGGGCGGAAATTTGCTAATAAAGGACAGTCCGTCAGCGGTTGTAGGCGGGGCCTGAGCAATATGACATCATAGTGCTCAGCAAATCAAAACGGCTTGATAATTGAGACTGCTTAGGTTTTTTGGGGATTAGAAAAAAGGAGTGAATGCATTTTTATGCATTTTATTTATTTAGGCAGATTTTTACCACCGCGGTGGTAATGGACCAACTACCGCCGGTGGCGCGGTGTTGACATATATATATATATATACAAAATTAGCACGTTAACGCAGGCGATTATTTTTTTCAGTTTAACGCGTTCAAAATATTTAACGCAGGGGTGGGGCTAGGGTGGGCCACCCCACTCACAACTGCTGCTTCTGTCACTTTTTCTCTTGACAAGAAGTGCATTTATTCAGTCGCAGAACGACTGAGAGCGGGAGACGTTTCAGACGCGAGCTCCTCTTCACAATCGGTGCCAGGCACGAGTGAAGCGAGCGCAGAAACGGTACTGTGCTTGCAGCGCGTGCTCTTCAATTGCACGCACAAAGGCGCCGGCGCGCTGTAGCCTGTATCCTTTCAATCAAAGCGTGTGAAATAAACTACGTGCATGCAATGCCGTGGTCAGTTAAGTCATGAAGTTACCAAAAAGGCGATTAAAGCTGGCGTAAAACTGCGCATGCATGTAATATATTTTATATGAATCACATTTAAGAACATGTCTCTGAAATGGTTTTCAAAACTGTCCAGGAAGAGCAGCCCAGCACTGTCTCACTCATCTAACACATCCGATTCAACTTGTTAGCTCGTGTTTATTTTAGCACTTCAGTCAGTGAATACGCAGCCTGCAAAACACTAAAATAAATATCAAAGAAATAATACAGTTAAACAAGAAAGTAGCCTAAATAAGAAAGTTAAATACACCCTGTCTACAGGACGTGGCACGACAAAATACTATAAAACTCATTATAATCAGTGATGCTACACTGGATGCGGCACGACATGACAAATCCCCAACAGTAAACTGCCTCGTTCTATTTATGAGGTACTGACACAGAGTTCAAATGTCCTGTGTAGACACTAGACAGACTCAACCTGTTGCGACGCGGCGGTGTCGTGTCCGGTGTAGACACGGTTCACAGTTCTGCTACTGTTATTACACTTGTATACAAAACTTTGCATTATGCTTGTTATAGAGTGCGTGACGTCACGTGCACTACCGCTGGTGGCAGTAGACAACCGCGGTGGTCGGTGACGCGGTTGTCACGGCAACCGTCACAGCCCTAATTGTAGGGTGCTTGTGGCCACGCTGCTAAGACACATTTATATGCAAACACCATGTAAAACTGAATTTTGCATCCGATGTCCCCTTTAAAAATCTTCAATTTCCACAGGATGGACTCCATCATGTTTGGCCATTATCGGCTGTCCCAGGATATGGACAATGAAACCAAAGTTTATGTTGTTGTCTCCAAGAGAAAAGAAGAGGTTGGTTTGCCTGTTCATGTTTACAGACCCTTTTCTTTAACAGCACTGTTCTATTTCTTTGCCGTTTTACTAGCATTGAACCAATGTTTTGTCATCTTCCAGCAGAAGGTGGCAGAGTACCAGAGGAGCCGGTTCTGCAGGCGGAACCCAGCCCCCGAAGCGGAGCGCGCCTTTCATGTAGGACTGCAGCTGTCCTCTGGGGGGCGTCAACGCTTCAACAAGCTGGTGTGGATCCACCATTCCTGCCACATCACCTACAGGTGTCTCACCAATCTGCATTCTCCAACACATCTGATGAGTCCGAATGAAATTCCTCCTGCTGTCTGTTCACACAATCAATGAGGACGCATTAGCACATCACCTTGAACGAGATGCTGATCAGATGCTTAAAGGAATTAGGCTATCTTAAAATTCAGAAATTAACTATTACTCACCATCATTCCAAACCTGTATGACTTTATTTTTCTGTTTTGAAATATGTTCATCTCATGACGAAAGCAAATGGGGTCAGATACTGCCAAGCTCCAACATAACACAAAAGCACCAAAAAAATCATCATAGAAGTGGTCAATATAAAAATAGAAATAAGTAGACTCTTTATACCGTATTGGCCCGAATATAAGACGACCCTGATTGTAAGACGACCCCCCTTTTTCCAGATGTACCTTTTGGAAAAAGGCTTTTTAAAAACCAAATCTTGTTTTTTCTCAGTAAAACACATTTTGTCTTCAATTATTTTCATATTGCATATTTTTCCTATTTAAAGTTTTGTTTTGAAAGTATGGTAAAAACTGGTAAAATGTACCAACAATCACATTTAAAAAATATACACTTTTTGATACACCATAAAAAAAAAATTTCAAAAACAGGTAGCCCATCTGAATTAGGACATTTAGGCTATCCATCTAATAGTAGCCTACCAAAATCTTATTAACAGTAGAAGTTAAATCCTACTGTAGTCTTCAAATCTGGGTACTGTCTTACGTTTTAAAATCACAAAGGGAGTTTGGTCCCATCAGGCTAACGTGACAGTCACGACTCGTGCAGCTGTAAGGTTTTCTTTTTCTTTTGTTTTTACTCGCGATCTTTACAACACGCATTACATTACGTGTATTATTGACATGTCAAAGTCTAGACCCTGAATATAAGACGACCGCGTTTTTTCAGATGTATTTCCAAGAAAAAAACAACGTCTTATATTCGGGTCAATACGTTATGTAATTTTTTTTAATGATAATAAAAAACAAATGGATACAAATATGCATAAGCTGAATCAAACTGAGTTTGATTTTAGCACTCAAATAAAAAAATTGAGCATTTAACTTTCAGTTACAGAAGGACTGATACGGGTGATGTTTTTATTTTATTGCATTGTTGTGTAAAGTAAGCATTTGCCGTCACTGAGTTGCTACGTTTCAGCACTTTGTCAGCCACACTGCTCAAAAATCCTAAGAAAACACAAACATGTTGATGTTCTTTCTCCAGCAAGCTAGGAGTTTGCAAGCTCTTCGACATGCTCTGAAGTTACATTTTATATATATATAATTATTATAATTATAATTAAATTATATAATTATAGGATATATAAAACGTTCTACTATATGATTTTTTTCTATGACTAAGCATTTTAGTGAATTTGGTAGAAAATCAAATACTATTGGTCCAACACTTTGCAGCCATGGCTGTCATCAGAGCGGTCCAGTCGGGAACCTTGTCATGGGCCGTGTGACAAGTCTAGCCTTGGGCTCCATACCAGTTGTGTCCTGGTGGTCCTGTGAGTTTAAGGGACAGGATTGCTTGGAAAACTGCTGAATTTGATCCAGAGCAGTCAGTAGGCAGTGACTTCGGCATGCTTGGGAGATTTTGTACATTTCTAAACGTTTTTTTTTTTTGTCTTTTTCTCCCTTAGATCGACTGGAGAGACAGTTGTCACTGCGTTTGATGTAGACAAAATGTACACGCCTCTGTTTTTTGCACGAGTGAAGAGCTACACAGCCTTTTCAGAGCTTCCACTGTAGGACGACCCAAGCAATGCATGCAGTAACTCGACCCTTGACCCCTCAAGGTTTACACCTCACTGCCACCTCCATCTGCTCGCCCTACTACTTCCAGCCCAGGCTCTTTCTTATGAATATAGACGAATGGTGTGACATTCTTAGATTCCTAGTCTTAACTGCAGCTCGAAGCATTATGTTTTGTTTTCATGATAGTGTAAGATCTGTCTTGCTCTTATTGTAAAGATAAAGATATTCTCTCTCGCTCTCTCTCTCGCTATATATATATATATAAAAGATTGTAAGAGGTTTCAAATGGACTGTGATGATGATGAATGTTCAGGTTGTTTTTGTGAATTTCAGTGAGGGAATATGTCGGCTGATAACTGGAACACCCAAATAAATGAGCTATATTGTGCTTTGCTGTCTTTTTCTTTTGTGTGTGTAAATTGTGTTGCTTAAGTCAAATTGAAATCAGAAAAAGAAATACCGGTCTTTGCAGTTTCATCAAAATGTTTCCTTTTGACTGTCGTCACCTTCTCAACCGTTCTCTTTTTAACATTTTGTCTTGTTGAATATTTTGCTCTACTCCGAAATAGAAGGGAAGGGGGTTATAGGCAGATTTCAGCAGATTTGTTATAACATCACTTTCAGTTTAAGTTCAGCTTGTTTTCTTTGGTGGACCCTGTAGTTTAAATGTCTTTGAAACAAGCACCCTTCAGAAATCAGGTCTAGAATTTTATTAAGAGGACATATAATCCAACTATAACATGCTCTGAGATTTGGGGACTGATGGGGATTTAGTTCAAGGGGAATTGTATCTGTGACAAAAAATAAGTTCTCTTTTAAGTCCACTGATAACCCTTTTTTATGTTATTATATGATTATTTGTTCTAGTTTGTCATGGTTGTGGAAATCCGAAATATCAGGGAAGTTTACATTTGTGATTTCTAAGCCCGAAGAAGTGTTTGCACTTTCTTAGCTCTTAAGTATTTCATTGGGTAGAAACTGCTTTTCGTTGACAATGATTTTGGGGGGGGGGAATCCTTATCCAGGAATCACAAATGACTATAAAAGTACTGGAAATTCATTTATCAAAATGTGTGGAAACTCATCAGTTTTATTATGATTTATTATAGTAGAATAGAATTCATTTAAAGCCAATAAGAGAAACCTTTCAATATTTAAAACCTCAATATACTTGAAATCAAAAAGACAAGTGAACAAACACTGACACCTGATATATTTCCAAATAAAAATCACTTTATTGGTATTGTGTCTGATGTTAACGGCCTACGTCTTGTATTAACACGTGCAGTATTAATTCTGTGATACAACATTAATTCTCTACTGTGCTATTAGCAAACGGTATCTTGTGCACTGGATGAGTGGGTCTATACGGCTGCACTGAAAGCATGAATTAACAGTATTCTATCATTTACCAGGGAGGTATTACTATAATGCAAGATATCATTACTTATCCTAAACTGAACACTAACAGAGAATGACTTGATTGTTAAGAAGGAATTATGATTATGAATCAGTAACAGAAGTTGCACAGCAGTATTCATTGTTTTCCTGCATTTCTATGCTTAATGGTTAAACACACATACACTGTAACAGGCTAGATGAAGGCAACGGTTTGTTCAAACACAAGAACAAAATTAATGTTGCTTGACTAGATCTGGAATGCTGGCACAGAGAATGAGTATGTTAAGCTGTTGAAACGCACTGGATCCTGATTTCATGGTTTAGGTGACTCAGTACAGGACAGGGTCTAAAGAGCTGCTCACTCCCTTCACTGCCTGTCATGCAGCACTTACAGTGCCTCAAAAAGGGAAAAGGAAAGTGTTACAGAGCTATAAATGTGCTTTATAATTACAGTGTAAGCCATTGTTCATTGTTTTGGTAAACGTGAAAGCGATGTGCTGAACTACTGATTCGTTGTGACATTTTTGACACCAGAAAATAAATCAGAAGCTATTAATTGCAGCAAAGAGCGCATACAAGACTAGCCAGATGAACAGAAGAGCACTGATGAGACATCACACTGACATCTGCAGGCTGGAGATACTGTGGTGTGGTGGAGACAGATGCTTCGGTGGAAGTCTGCAACACTGATACACTGCAATGTCAGCACAATCTGCGCCAACAGTTTCATATACAACAAACAATTGTATATATGAGATGCGTTTTACAATGATCTCGAACCCTGGGTCATGCCTGGCTCATATTTCACCAGCAAATCAAAAGAACATATAATAATTATTTTCTTAAAAAAAAACTATGAAACTATTAAACTTGTGACGTTAATGAAATTTTTGCACATTTGAGTGGAAAAGAACGTTATTCTCATTATTGTAATGCAAAAGCAACTATATATTATTTAAATTGTTTAGTATCTACACATCGTTGTAATACGGTAAAGTTTTCATGTTAAAAAAAAAAAAATCTTACGGGAATATTGAAAAATACACACACACACGCACACGCACACGCACACACGCACACACACACACACACGCACGCACACACACAAAACAAAGTGTAAGTTGGGGTAAAATATAACCCGGACATGTTTTCAAGAGATTCAACTACAATACAGCACTACAACAAATTGTGCTAAATCCTTGTTAATATAAAATAAACAGTCCATTTTATTCTGTAAACATACATGAATTAACTAAACTCGCTCGATTAGTCCATAAAACTAATTGTCTTCCATTTTTCTCAAGGTCTTGTTATGACTGTTACGTACTGTCTTGTAAGATTATCTGCCTGTGCTATAAAGAAGCATTGTATACGCTACTACTGTTTAATTGAGCTCATAAGTGTGACATACTCCTGTATACTTGTCAAATTCCTCTAATACAAATCTTCTCTATGTCTACAAACAAGCTTGGTGAAAACACCAGTGCAAATTAGTACAGTATTAATGTTAGCCATCTTTGTTCTTCAAGAAAAAAATATATGAAAAACATCAAATACTCTAACTTGGACCCTACTTCCTAAGTTTTGGATTCAATATGAATAACGTGAGGTTGCAGTGTGCAAAAATGTGAGGAGTCTCTTAAAGGTGAAATGGCTGTAGCGTGGTAACTAGATAGACATGCATGAAGCTCCTCTACTGCGCTGATAACAATAACAGGACTGTAAGTGGATGAACTGTTGTCAATCTGTGCGCGGTTTCCTGTATTTAACCTTCTCATTGGATGTCACTCCATTAGTGTGACCGTTTATTGATCCGTTCGAGTGATCGGTTTTCCGAGATCCCATGCAGCTCTTATAGGTCTGTGGAGCAAAGAAGCGGAACATTTTGAGCAATTCTTCAAGCCGTACTTTCTTACGATAATATTCTTTATGCTGAGAATTTGTTTACCTTTATGTAGAAGTTTGAGAAGAGTAAGATAAGAGTGATCATATAAGTGATTTGGAAATACAGCCAGCCCATTGGGAAACCACATGGCCAAACCACAGCACAAGATGTCTGGAACATGGTCAGGACAAACTGGACCTGCAAGAGGAAACAGCCATCAGTGATCCACCATTGATCAATCTTTTATATGAGTGATTCTTCAATTAGGTTAAATAAGCTAATACAAGGTTGCTTGTGGTAAAAGAAAAGAGTCCACATTCTGACAAACGTAACCGTTATTTCTGTCATGACAACTCTCGGAGGGATTAGCATGGTAATGTGCATGACAATGTTAATTTTTATTTGGTCTTGGCGGAATAGATCTGCTACGCTGCTGCTGCGGCACAGTACCGAGACTTGCTACTGCCAATACATGTGAGCATGTAAGAAATACTGCTGCTGCAAATATAACATACATGAAATAACCCCCATATAGCATACATGAATCACCTCGTAGCAGATCTATACAGGTGGAGCTGGGGAAGGTGGAGGGTTTCTGAAGCAAGCTGCAGCTGCTACGGCAAGCACTAGTCATATATTTGAATGCTGAGCAGCGAGCTCATTGGCTACCGATACAGGAGAGAACCAATCAGCTGTGCCATGTGATAATGATGTCATTAGTTCAGATTGAGTTCGACCTATGGTACTGCGCCATCTAGAGTTTCATGCCAGAACTCTGTCTTCAAAATCATACTAGGAAAGCATTCTAGAGGACGAGAAAAGCTCCCCAAATTGGAAAATTACCCATAAGTAAAAGACATTGACTGTTATGAACAATCTGAAACTTGGTATCCTATGTTTTATCCATCCAAACCTATTAGACTTTTTGTTATATAGCAGTGAACACATTCCATTACAAGAAAGCACTTGGTATTTTAATAAAGTGAAAGGGAAAAACAAAAGTGTAATTTTTAAGCGTCCTCAGAGAAGTTTGGAGTAAAAGCGTGTACTTGCCAGCTGCCCTTGAGTGATATACTTTTTCCACCACAGATACGGTCTCATGGCTGGGACAGCAGAGAGGCCGTAATACGAGTACATCAGGACATGGATGAAGCTGTTAAACGTGGCGCCAAAATAGGCTGATGAAAAGAGCAGTAATATCAGTATTAGTTGCTGCATTTGCTTCAAATCACAAATCAACCTCTGAAGCATCAAAGTAGGTTCCCTATGATACAAATGTATATATTTTAAAATGTACAAAAATAACTGACTATTCATGAAAATTAATAGTCAGCATTACCGATAATTGGTAACCACAATATATTCTAAGAAGAAAATGGAGATCAACAGAAGAAACTCCTTTAAATACCACATTGCATAATGCAAAGTTATTTAAAACCACCTGGACAAGCATTTTTACCCTGTTCTGTTTGCTTTGGTTTTATGCATCTGAAAAATTCAGCATATAAAATGCACCATAAGCTCCTTCAGAAGCCTTTGACTGCAAAACAGTGGAGTTTCCCTGCGAGGAGCTTACAGTGGCCACACGGCACCCAGTTCATGACGAACCACCAGATGTTGAGCATGGTGGCGTGATGGTAGACGTGCAGGAAGCTGATCTGGTGGTTGTTCTTCCTCAGAATGAAGAAGAAAGTGTCCATAAACTCAATGAGTTTGGAGAAGTAATACCACCAAAGTACGTTTATCATCTGAGGAGAGATTAAGAGAGAATCATTTACACAAGAACTCATTTCATCAGCGACGTTACAAAAATGCAACATCAGTTACAAAAGTCATGAAATCACTAGTGCTGTAATGATTCTCAGTCCACTTCTGATTTCCACTTAGGCCGTTTTTGGTCTCTAACTATACACTTAACAACAAATATAATACTGCTAAAATGGACAAGCTATGTATTCTAGCATAACATCATGAAATTTTTCTTGTGAAAAAGAAGTGCTTAATTGCATTGAATGTGCACTTGTCATGTTTTTAAGTATATATTTAAAAAAATGTATTTGCAGATAATATATTAATGAAATAAAAGACCATCTAAGTGAAATCGAAAAGAGTACAATATCATGACACGCAAGTACACCTTTAAATTTTGTTTTTAAATTCTTGTTTTAATAACCTTTTGTTGTGCTCTAAAGAAGTGAACTTATGTGTTGACTCGTATACTAAAGCACATATAAAGTACCTTAAATGTGCTAAATTGCAATTTCATCATTACGAATGTGTAATTACAAATGTATTTATATACACATGACATACAGGTTTCAATAAAAATGAAATTATAGTATATTTTAGTTTACCGTAAATGCTTGTCTGTAGTACACTTTAAGCATATTTCAAAGGCAGTAGAAGTAATTATGTTAAATTACATATAAAGATGGACTTAAGTGGTCAGAAAGCTAATTCAGTTAGTTGTATTTAAAGGAGACATACTATGCCCTTTTTTACAATATGTAATATAAGTCTCTGGTGTCCTCAGAATGTGTCTGAAGTTTCAGCTCAAAATACTCCACAGATCATTTATTATATCATTTTGAAAATGCCTATTTTGAGTGGAAGCAGAAACACACAGTTTTGCGAGCCTGTCTCTTTAAATGCAAATGAGCTGCTGCTCCCCGCCCCCTTTTCCAGAATAGAGCTGCGCCATTACAGCTCGGACCTGCTAAAAACATCTGTTTTGGTTCTGATTATCATGTTTATCGCGCTGAAATCATGCGTTTTAAAGCATACAAGTTTAAACTACTGATACATGGTTTTCTGAGCGCACACATCCGAAGCACACGCACAGAAAGCGGCTCTCACAGCATGTGAGTACTAAACTAAGTTCTCATTCACACACAAGTTTACGTTAAAAACACACAAGAGTTACAAAACAGCCGGTTATGTCTGTGAAGATAAACTGCTGGGAAATAAATTGCATGTTTATTTTAGATCTGTGTGGCAGCAGCAATATACATTAAATAAATCAATAAATCCACTTTTCTCTCGTCTCCTCTGAGGCTGGGACTGTAAACAGTGTTCTGTGCTCGTCTGTGCAGCCAAACACAGAACAGTTAGCATGTTTTGCTAAAACTTTCGCCATGGCATTAGAACTAATACATCGTTGTCGCTTGCAAATCATAATGACAGCGCCGTGGGTGGAAACTTACAGATTAAGGGGCGGTAATATTATAATGAGATCCCTTTGCCACGTCACC